ATAAATAAATGAAATTAAACAAATAAATTAATTTTATTTTAAAAACGCGGGGGGGGGAGGGGGGGTTGCAAATTATTTAAGCTTATCAATTCTGGGGGGTGTGGATATCAGGGCCTAAAATACATATATTGGATTTAGGCCTAGTTGGGTGGGAGGTGTTATTTTTAACGTAATGGCGAAATTGGGGGTACAAGAATTAAGGGTCCAAGTCCAGATGTTGGACTTGGCCCACTAGCGTGGGAGGGGTGTATTTTTGAACTGAGGGAGCAATTACGGGGGTTGATTTAGCAATAGGCTTGGCCCAAATCTTTAAATGTTGGGAGTGGTCCATTTGGATCATGTGCGAGTATGCGTTGGGAATTACGGTGTATTTGCGAGGTTATGACCACTAGATCAAGATCATAGGGTTGTGGATGTGAGGGTGTATGTTGGGGATATGGGGATGCAAGAACGTGATCCCGATGGGTTATAATTTTTCATTTTCCCTTCATTCTCATTTCATCTATCTCTCTCTCTTTGTCTTGTTCTCTCTTCTCTCTCTCGTTAATACAAACAACAACACTTCTACAAACCCTGACCCCCACGGACGGTCGCGATGAACCCCATTCGACCCCAAATCAAACCCTCACCACCCTCAAATCGACATAGCAAACATCAATCGTGACGAAAATCAAAATTTCAAAAGTTGAGTTCCTCAGATGTTACCTTTACGCGTTTGTTATTTTAGCTTTCGTCTATCTTCTCCGTCTAACTCTCTATGATCTCCTTCCCCTTCCAGGTACAATTGAAGGTGATGCCGAAAGCGGCAGAGATGGAAGATCTAGCAGCGGCGATTTATAGAAAGATATTAGGGTTTCTGTTCAGAAACCCTAGATCTATACGCGAATGAAAAGGTCCGATGGAAACCATTTTCTGTGTCTCCTCTTCTTCCACTCCTTCTTCTTTGGTTATGTTCTCTTCAAAATTTCCTCCCCTTTCACCTTAGTTCTTAGGGTTTTTATAGTTTAAGTTTTAGATAGATTAGGAAATTTCATATATATAATTTCTGTTAGAAACCATGATTGACAGAAGATTATGGAATTGTAAAATCAGGTTAGAAATTGATACAATTTTGTTGTAAATTAGGTTATATTTGATTTGGTTCTATTCTGTAATTGATATAATTTGTTTGTAATTTTGGATGATTTCTGATCCAGTCTTAATTTTGTACATAATTGATTCGATTGAGTTTCTAAAGATTTGATTTTGTTAATGATTTTATTTTCTTTGTACTTTGTACGCGTTTCTGGGCCTTGGGTATCGATGGGATGAAGATGAAGAAACATGGTGCCGCGACTGAATCTAGGGTTTCAAAACCCTCTCAGTTGACTCTGGTCAAATGAAACAAAAAAAATTACTAATAAAAACAATTAAGTAATTAACTGAATAATAATAATTAAAATAAATAAATGTTAAGTAAATAATAATTTAAAAAGGGTTGACCTCTGTCAACATCCTGGTCTGACCAAAAAATTTGAAAAACTCGATGGGCCTCTCTAAAAAAAATATGACAACAAATTTGAGAGGCCCAATTGATCAGATTGTAACAAAAATCATACCCCTCTTTTATGACTTAAAAGGGACAATAACCTTAATGGGCCATCCGCTTTTTGATGGTCCACTTGAACAATACACCCCCTATTAAAAAAACATAACCTTCTCTATGGACTTCACAAACAAAGGGTCCTCAAAGGGCTTAATGGGCCTTCAAAAGAACGTGCACCCTTTCTTATGATTCAGCATGAGTTATAAACCTTTAATGGGCCTTCAGACTTTGATGGTCCATTTTGAAGCAAACATCCCTCTATGATTAATATATGTACCCTTTCTATATTTTAAACCCCCATATAAATAACATTAAAAAATAAACAGATTTGAACAATATGACTTGGGGTATGACAACTTGAACACGTGATTAGGAAAATAATAAATTTCAAAACCGGGAGGTTGAGAAACATACACTTCTTAACTTATCTATATGTTAAGGAATACACTTTTTACGTCCATTTGATATAATTTGAAGTTCTTAGAGCATGCATAAGCTAATAAAAGGCGTATAACTTCAAGTCGGGAAATCATAGCATAAGTCTCCTCATAATCAATGCCTTCCTCATGGTTATACCCTTGAGCCACAAGACGGACCTTATTTCTTGTTACCACACCATGGTCATCAAGCTTATTCCTAAATACCCATTGAATGCCTATAGTTTGATGATTTTGTGGATGAGGAACAAGGTCCCAAACGTCATATCTTTCAAATTGATTCAATTCTTCTTGCATGGCCATAATCCAATGCTCAACAAGTAAGGAATCCTTAGCATTTTTAGGTTCAAATTATGATACATATGCATGAAGATTAAAAAATTACTTATCTTAGAGCGAGTAGTTACCCCTTTGGTGATATCACCAATAATGTCGTCAATTGGATGATCCTTGGAGGTTCTCCACTCCAATGGAAGACCACCATTTTCTTCTTGAATTTCATCATCTTTCTTTTCTTGGATGTCATCTTCATCCTTCTAAATTTCTACCATTTTAGGTTGATCAACTCCTTCATCAGTGTCTTTGAGTATGTCTTCTGTAGATTCACCTACATCATGAAAAGAACTATCTCTCCCAACACTATTTGGGGAAGTATCATCAAAAGTAACATGGACTGACACCTCAACAATAAGTAATATTTTGTTATAAACTCTATATGCTTTACTATATTGAGAGTATCCAAGAAAAATCCCTTCATCGATTTTCATGTCAAATTTTCCAAGGTTACCTTTTCCATTATTTAAAACAAAACATTTACATCCAAAGACATTAAGATGAGATAAATTTGGTTTTCTACCTTATAAAAGTTCATAGGGAGTTTTGTCAAGAATGGAACAAATAAGTATTCTATTCAAGACATAACAAGTTGTGCTAATAACATCGGCCCAAAAATATTTTGGTAGACAACAATCATTGATCATTGTTCTTGCCAACTCTGCTAAAATATGATTTTTACGCTCCACAACACAATTTTTTTTGGAGTTCTAGGACATGAAAAGTTATGTTCAATTCCAAATTTATCACAATATTCTTCAAAGAGATGATTTTCAAATTCACCTCCATGATCACTTCGAATGACAACAATTTTTGAATTTAATTTATTTTAAGCTAACTTGGCAAAACGTGTGAAAGCCGAGAACGTTTCATCTTTGCTACGTAAAAAAATAGTCCAAAAAAATCTTGAGTAATCATCTACAATTAAAAGACCATAGTAATTACAACCTATGCTTTTAGTCCGTGAGGGACCAAATAAATCCATGTGAATGAGCTCAAGAGGTCTCGATGTTGGAACAATATTTTTAGATTTAAAAGACACCCTTGTTTGCTTACTCTTTTGACATAAATCATATAGATGATATTTTTAAAAATTCATTTTTGGTAGACCAATTACTAAATATTTTGTAACTATTTTGTTAAGTAGATTAAAGTTGACGTGAGCCAAACGTCTATGCCATAGCCAAGAGTCTTCACTCAAAGTAACAAGGCACTGGGCATTGTTCAAGGAAATTTCTCTTAAGTCGAGCTTATATATATATATATATATATATATATATATATATATATATATATATATATATATATATATATATATATATATATATATATATATATATATATATATATATATATATATATATATATATATATATATATATATATATATATATAACCCTCACACCCTTAAACATACAATCCTTCTTTTCATTATGTCCCATTATGCAACAATATTTGGCAAAAGTTACCTTATACCCATTATCGCATAATTGACTAATACTAAGAAGACTATGTCTAAGGACTTCAACTATCATAACCTTTGAGATAGTAATAGTTGAGGGATCACCTATACTACCTTTTCCAAGTATTTCACCTTTGTTGTGGTCACCGTAGGATACAAAACCTTTCTTCTTCGCCACAAAGTCGGAGAAGAGAGATATGTCTCCCATCACGTGTCTTGAACATCCACTATCGAGAATCCTTTTTCCCGTCATAGAATAAAGACACTCATCCTACAAAAATCAAACAAATTTGGTAGGTACCCAATTATCATTGGATCCTTGAGAGTGAATTAAATAATTGCTACATTTGGGCAACCATTGGAAATTTCTTTTAGCAACCAAAAAACACCTAAATTTGCATTTTTCAATAGTATGGCCTTTTTTGCAACAATAGTGACAAAATTAGCTATGATGAGAATCACCTATGCTATTAGACTTCTTCTTAATAATGTTATAGTTGTTATGAGGTTTTTCAACCTTTGAACATCTAATAGCAATAGTATCAATGAGATGATGTATTTTATCCATTTTGGTTTCAAGATTACTCACTTCTTGTTTCCAAATTTTACATGTTTCACATCCAAATTTACAAGATTGTTCATTCTCCTTTACACAATTTGAACTATCTACAATGAGTTTCTTTAATGCCTCAAATTGTTCATTTCTTTCTTCAAGCTTGGCCTGCAAATATGTAAAAACCTTTTCTTTGGAGGCCAACTTTTTGTTAGCATATAAAGTCTCTTTTCCATATTTTCAAATTTATTCTTCAACTCATTAAAAGAAAAATTTGAAACATTAGAGTATTTAGAATGACTTATATCCTTTTTATTGCATTGACGAAGATTTTCCATGAAACAATAGTTTGCCTCTTCATAACTCTCGCTTGAGATTTCATTGCATGAGACATCATTATCACTATCCCAAGCGAGATAGGTTTGTCTATAATTTTTAGAGTTGTTTCATTGACCTTTTCCTTTCTTCTTAGCAAGAGATAGACAATCTGATCTACAATGACCAAATTTTGTGCATTCATAACAAATACCCTTTGCCTTATCCTTTTTATTTCCTTCGTCTTTAGAGGAAGAAGATTGTCTTCTAAATTTGACAAGATTATTATCGGAGTGTCTGACACCATCCTTCGGAATGTATCGATTATATTTCCTTACAAATAATCTCAGATCTTTATCATCTAAATTCTCTTCATTGCTAGATTCACTATCATTAGTGGGTTCATCCCTTGAGGACTTTGAGCTTGAAGCATTGAGAATTTTATACTTCAAGACTTCCTCCTTAACAACCCTTTTTTCCTTTTTCTATTTCTCAAGCTTCTTTTCATGTTTATCCAAGAAATTGAGTTCTTGCTCGTGTTCTTCTAACATTCCAAACAAGGCAGTGAGATTAAGTGTTGCAAGATTCTTGGCTTTCTTGATTGCGGTGATCTTTGGTTGCAAATTCCTAGTAAGAGATCTCAATAACTTGTTAGTAGCAATAACATTGAAAATAAGATTACCTAGTAAATTTAAAAGATTAAAAGATGTGAGAACATATTTTGAATTTGAGCAATGGTTTCCCCTTGCTTCATGCAAAAGAGTTCAAACTCTTGATTAAGTGTATTAATTCTCGCTTGTTTAACCTCATTAGTTCCATCATAGGTAACTTGTAGAGCATCCCATATAGCTTTAGCGGTTTGACAATGGGAAATGCGATAGAACTCATCAACACCAAGAGAGAATATGATTATGTTATTAGCTTTCCAATCACAAGACCACTTATTATTATCATTCTCATCCCATAAGTTTTTCGTCTTTGAAATGATAGCACCATCAACAACATATGTCACTGGTGTTGGACCTATCTACCCAAACACCTTTGTCATATGAGTCAATGTGAATTTGCATACAAGCTTTCCAATAACTATAATTTTTTTCCTTGAAAATTGGGACTCTTTGAAGCAACTAAGAAAAACAAATAAGTCACCATCGAATATTTATTTATCCCACGGAAGGGAAAGGAAAACATCGAGGAAAACTTGAGAAGAGAGAAATCAAGGTCTCACGACCAAGAGAACGAGTCCGTGAGTCGATTATGCAAGGGGAAGGTATTAGCACCCCTCTCACCTGTGGTACTCCACGGGATACACTCTTTTTGTTCTAATCAAATGGTGTGTCTAAATATAAAGAAAATAAGCTAAGGGAAAATGCATAAATGCAAAGTATATACAAAAGAAAGTTTTTATTAGTGCGCCTGCCACGGTTGCGAACTTTTGTGCTTACGTACCCTCTTCATGCAATGAGAGCTCAGGGCACTCATAGTTCACCTAAAAAGGTGTTTTAATTTGTTGTTTATTTTTTAGACGGATAATATTACATTCATACTCTAGAAGTTGACATATTGCAACCAGACCTTTTGGGAATCACGCGTCATATTATGCAGAGTGGAATTAACACATCTTTTTTGTGAAAAAGTTTTTAAAAGAAAAGCCCGAAATCAAAAGAGTTTGAATTGGTTTGTATTTTTTACCTTGAAAAAGGATTTGGTGATTTAAACCACATTAAAGACTATGATTGAAAGGAAGCACATGGTTGGGAATGCACCCCCTCATACTTCCCCCTAATGTTTAAGGATCATGACACATGGTTCGCGTCTTTATTGTTAAGATGTTTTTGATAAGTTTTATTAAGAAAAAAAAAAAATTTTAAGTTATAAATATGAAAAAGGGGAATTAAAAAGTCTAAGGGAGACTATAGACCCTAATATTGTCATACAATGATGGTCCTAAGGTTAGGATGAAATGGAAACTTCTACCTAAGTTAGCATGAAAAAATATACCTAAGGTTAAGGATAGGGAAACTACCTAATGCTATCATGCATGGTTTAGAACCTAAGGTCTATTTAGTTAATATCTTAAAGAAGATGAAACTAAAATCCTAATGGAACATGTTATTCACACAAAAAAACAAGAAAGAAAGGCACAAGCACTAATGAACTCAAGATTGGAATTAAGTGTCAAGACTTAGCATACAAGAGTATGTTGATCCATACAAGATGGGGTACTAAATGAGACAACAACAATATCAATTAGCACTCAAGAAAGCAAACCATGAAGATGGAAGAAGAATTGTCAAGTACCAACCAAAGATAGGTCAAAGAAATCAAGCTAACACGCAAGCAAGTTCAAAATGTTTTAAACAATTGATGATCAAACAATTAAAGCACAAGTATTATATCATGTAACTTTGGAAAATAATTTAACTCAAGATGAGATTTGAAATTATGAAGAAGGAATTTCAAAATTTTATGCATGAAAGCTGATTTAAGAAAGCAAGTCAAACAAGCAAAGATGTAGTCCACAAGATCAAACAAGCATAGTAAACTAATAACTTGTGAAAGTAAGAAAAAATTAGTGTACTTAATAGTTATAGGCAGTAGCAAACACTAAGTATTATCAAATGGAAAAATCTTTAAAGCATGGATAAAAACATTTAGCAAAAAAGTTCAACAAGCTCAAGCAAAGAAGAGAAATATAGCTTCTAAAGTGTCACCATATTGATTCATAAATGAATGCCTAACCAAGGATAATAGAAGCATAAGAAGTGAGATGAGGAGAGGATAGATGATACATGATTATGCATACACATTTAGATCCAAAGCCTCTAAGAGCTTCACCAACACTACATTCAAAATTAGGTCAAGAAAATAGAGATGTGGCTCTTAGAAAGTCATCATGATGAGCTTGCAAGTGACTACAAGTTAAAGAATCAAAAGAGCTATGTATTAAAGCATAAGGACCTTAGAAGTCAAAAGCATTCTCAATATAGTTCAATCAATCTGGATCAATGGTATTCAAATAGAAATGTTCAAAGGCAATCTCCTAAACCATGATCTCAAAAGATGAACAAATGAACTTCAAAGCATAATGGATCAAATGAAATCAAATGGTTCTCAAGTCCTTGAAGAACTATCCTTGAACAAATCATCCATCATACTTGGTCATTGGATTCAAAGAGTCCTCAAGAACAAACCAAAATCACAACAACAATGTAATTAGGATTTTCAAATTTGGCCAATCAAAGGCTCAAAAACAAATAATCATCAACAACCAAAAATATGATCAATAAAATTAATCAAAGTTGATGTGATCTTAAAGAAAACATATGATCATCATGTGTCCAATAATTGGCCTTTAAACAAATTCATAAGTTGCCAAATGAAATTAAACAAGTTTAAACAAGGCCAAATGAACACATTCACAAGATAATTCAATCAAAAATAGGAACAAACCTTAAAATTCAAACCAAAACTATTTCTACATCCCTAAGACTTGTAAAAGTCAGAAACATTGCTTAGGGTTCTTAGAATATTAAGGAAAGATGAAAGTAAGCCTCAATTGTCAAGACTAGTTGAGAAAAGTCATCAAATTAGACACCTTAAACAAAATATTTAATGAAAATTAAGAAATCAGAATATAAAATTAATTAAAAATCACTTTCATGATCCTAACATGTCCAAAAACCCTAATTTTTTATTTTATTTTTAGAAGTAAAGGGACTTAGAGGATTAATAGAAAAGTTGCAAACTAGCACAAAAATATCACACAAACACCTATTTAATGCTAAAATCAAAATAAAATATCAAAATGATTTATAAATTAAAATAAAAATTTCCAAACTGAAGTTAAGATTTCAGAGGGTTTAGAATTTTTGTGGATTTTTAATGTTATGAGAAAAACTAGAATAAAATTGAAAAACTAAACTAGCACAAATTCAACAATTAAAAACACATTAAATCAAAGTATTTAAATAAAATAGTAGATTTTGCAGAAAAATAAAATAAAAATTGTAATTAAATAATAGATATATTAAAGTATTTAAAATATTTTTTTTGTGATTTTAGGATAATTAGATGTATAACAATAAAACTATATTTGAAAAAAAAAAGAAATAGATGAACAAAATTGGGGGTGCAAAGTTAAAAAACAGAAACTAACTAAAATTAGTTAAAAAAGTAATTGGGCTAAAAAACGAGTAGGGTGCAAAAATAAATAGAGCCAGGCCCAAACCGAAAAAATTCAATTCAAAGGCCCATATTCATTATTTATGTTTTATTATTGTCACATTAAAAAAAATGTATGTACACATTATCCAATCGGTCATGCTACTTTTAATTGAGGAAAAAGACAAAAAAAAAAATATCCCAACGAATAAGAGCGCGACACCTTTCTTTCCCTAATCTCCAACCACACCAAAAACAACAATGTCGCGATTTGTTTCTTGCTCTAGACCGAATTTCTTTTCAGTTTTTGTCATACTCATAACGTCTTCATTTCTTAATGAAATCAAAAGATTCTTGAACCAAAATTGTAGTAGGAAATGAGAGGAACAACATAGCATGAAGAGTTTTAAAAAATAAGCAAGCAATCATGGAGATATTCAAGCAACAACATCATGGATCAAGCATGTTATCACAAAGTTTCAAAAGATTTAAAAAAGCATTTCAAGCAAGGATTCATCACAAAACCACCTCATACCTATTGTATGAACCAGCTACAAATGCATGATGCAATTTCTAAGCATTTAAAACCTAGAACAAAAGAGATGAAAGCTTCAGAAGCTTACTAAATGGACGATTCTTCCACTGCTTCTTTCTTACTTTAAGTTCTAGAAACCCACTAAATCTTGTTTGATGCTCTTCAATGAACTCAAATGCAGAAGAAGAATGAAGTATATCAAGAGATTTTAAAGTGAGAAAAACTTAAGGACCCATTTTTCAGATCTGATTAAGCTCTCTAATTTTAAGTGTGTGAATGGAGTGAGGGTTGGAGGGTCTTATATAAAGAGTGTAGAAGATAGTATAGTGGTCCTTTTTCCAAGAAATTCGTTGGAGGGTGAAATTTGAAGTTTTGGCCAAATTTGAGGGTGGTGTGAGCTCATGCATTTTGTATACTTTTGTTGGGCTTTTTGTGAATTTTACCTTGCACATGTGGTCAGAAATAATTATCCAAAAGATGGTACAAGATGGTGGTGAGTGGAGAGAGATATTCACAAATGGCTATTTTTGATAATTTTGGAGTTTTTGAATGGAAATCAAGTACACAAAGTGCATGGATGCAAATAGAAGGTATCATGGTCTAACTCACGCCCTAAATAAGTTATGGACTTAGTTTGAATAAAAAAAATGTCTAGAAATTAAGTTTGAGAGAAATTGCAATTTGGATGACTTGAATTGTTCACAAAAATGACCTAAACTCCTAAAAGGCACAACTTCCTCAATTCTCTGAATAAATTGATGAACTGATACTTTTTGGAAAGGTCTTGAGATGCTATTCAACTTACATGCTGGGAAACATTTCATTTTAAACCATTAAGATCCCCAAAACTTCCCACGAAAAGGGCTGAGTTGAAAAATGACCAATAATTTTCATGATGACTAAAAGCCTAAAACTGTAGATCTTGATTTCCTCTTTCCAAGGACAAACTTATAGATCTTGATTTCCTCTTTCCAAGGATGTAAGGTTTGCAAATTTCTAATCAAAATTAAAGAAGTTATGATTTTTCAAAGTTCAGCTTACAAAATGTTAAATTCCATAACGTATTCTCTAAGTTATAAAT